TAATGAATTTTTGGTCTAGGGAGATTTTATTGTTTTGATTATCGATGTCATTGTGGGATTGTTTTAGAATAACCACTTAGTCTTAGTATATATTATTTTTTAAATTAATTCATTTAGACTATAAATGGTAAATTCGCATACACGACATATTGATACATATAAACCACAAAAAAAAAACAATATTGCATTATGTGAAATATTCAAATTTCATTCATTTCATAAAGTTTATCGTTTGTACCTTATTCAATAGAGTGTGCGAGTGTGAATAATAGATTAAATACATAAACAAATATAATAGGTTTATTTATAATGGATATAACTTCAGAAAAAGAAATTTTAGGTAATGATGACAATAATTTAGAACCTAAAGTAGAAATTGAAGAAATTGAAATTAAAACAATTGGTAGCGATAACAGTGATAATATTCACACTAGCGATGTTAGAAGTATTACTAGCAAGAACTTTTATGAAGAGCCATTAAAATTCAACACAGAAAATACAAATACTGTTGAATTATTAACATATAATTACAAAGATAATGGAACAAAAGACGTTGTTAGCCCAACTCAATGTATTCCACATAATGGAAAACTTGTAAAAAACGTAATTTGTTCGCCAAATTTAAAATATATTGCAACCTTTAGTGAAGATGATAATTCAATCGTTGGATGGTTACATTTGGAAAATAATGGAACATTAGAGCCGGAAACATTTTATGATGGGTCACAACGAAATGATCTTATAGCTTGTATTGAAACATTATCTGATGAAAAATATATTGTTTTTGAATCTAATCAAAGTCAATCTAATATTGCTAATGAATATTGTAAGTAATAATAATGAAATTAATTTAATTTGTAAAAAATTTTTTCGGTGTTAAATTATAATTGACAAGTTTACTTACTTACTTATTTATTTATTTATTTTATTTTAGTTATATTATATTTAGCAAATAATAAATTTATCAAGTTATTGAACAATCAAAAAAACCCATTTAATTTCGAACGTCCAACATTTTTGACAAATGGTGATCTGTTTGTAATTTCATATGAGAATGATCAAATTTATTTATTTTCATTAGATCCAAATGAAGAAGTCATAACATGTAAAGCAGCATACAATATAAGTTTACCGAAATTAACAGCTTCTGATAATGTTGCAAAATATTTCATCATCTCAAATTCATATTTATTGATCAACAATGGCGATACAATGGCTTCGCAATGGGATTTAACAAAGATGGAATTTGAGTTTCAATATTTTTCAGAAATTTTACTACCAAATAATTACTATAGATATAATTCAAATGCTGCAATATTTAACAAGGATAAATCCTTATTAGCAGTTTATTTATATGTAGAAAAACAATTAATTATTTATTCAATACAATATGGAATCAAGTTAACAACATGTAGGTTTCTATTTATTATTTATTTATTTTTATTTTTGCCATTCTCTTTTTTCTCTAAAATCTTTTTATTTTCTTCTCATAAATTATTTAGTTACATTTGGAAAAAGTAAATGTGATGATATGGCTTTCATATACACAAAAGATAACACAGAGCATTTATTTGTAGTATTACAAAATGAATATGCTGACATAACCAGCAATTATATATTAATGGATCCATATAATTTAGATAATTTTACTGATATAAGTGAAATTTATAGTGAATATTTATTTAAAGATAATCTTCGAATTAAAAAACATCTACAGAAAATAGCAAATGATAAAATAATTAAAATATTAGATAATAATTCTATTTTTATAGAAAAACTTATACCAGAAGAGATGAAGTTGCCAAATTCACATCTAAAGAATTTCAACCACTTATTTTCATCACCAATTATAATGGAAAGCACTTGCGAAAGAGTTGGCAGATTATTAAATGACAACACTACAGATTTTTTTCCAAATGAATTCAAATTAAAATCAAATAACAATGAAATTAAATGGACAATAGATCATTACGATAAAGAATCTGGCTATTTAAAATTAAAACTTAAAGTAGAAAAATTGACATTATCATTTGTGGATGAATATGATTATTTTGAAATGTGTACCCATTTCTTAATAAATTGTAAAGTATTAGAAAATGATGATTTATTATTAATCACAAGACTAGGTATAATGATATTTTCATCAAATTTCATTGCCAAGAAAATTTATTTAAAATACTTTTGGAATGATTATATTGAACAAGAAAAGTATTGGATGAGACATACAAGCAACAGCCATTATATTAAAAAAAGAATTTCCGAAGGTTTTGTCAACTTTAAAAAAAAAATAAATAGGTTACCTTCACTTAATTATTATTATATCTTTGATAATTATAATCAAACTTATAGCGGTAAAGATAAAACTACAAGACAACCATTCAAAGACATGCTATCTGCAATATTAGAAGATATTTCTTCGTTTACAATTTTTGCTGACGAAATCTTAAAATCTGCTTTAGATAATCATAAAGGCTCAATAGTAGAACTAGTTTGTGATAAATGTCTAAGTTTTTTACAACAAAATCCTGAAATGAATATTGGATTAACAACATTTTTAGTAAATGAATTACCAAAATTAAGCAAGCATTATCCTGGGGTAGTAAAGAAATTTCTTGAGCAAACATCAATGTTGTTGGATCCTTCTTGCAATAAAATTTTTGTATCAAATTTACCAAGTCATTATGGATGCTGTTATGACATTGATTTATATAGAGATAATCTTTTTTGGAATCTATATTTTGTATTTCAAAGGAATTATTATAAATTTATGAAAATAGTTGGAAAGTGTTTTGATGAACACTCAATATTTTCAAACAATTATGGAAAATACTCTTTAAGTTTAGTTGTACCTTTACCAAAATTTACAAGTTATCCAAACAAATATTCATTCCGGAGAGAATTATTCTATAAACCTGAATCTAATACTTTTATTAAAATGAACAACAAAGAGTTATTTAAAATCATGAATGGTGAAGCTTTATTGGATTTTAAATGGCACAAGTTTGCTTTAAAATATTATTTAGGGATTTGGTTATATTTTATAATATTTTTATTTTGTTTTTCATTTGTCACAACTTTAAGAGGTGATATAGATAAAGCTACAAGAAATACATTTTTGTCAATCTCAAGCATTCTTGGTTTTTCTCATTTAATAATTGAAATTAAAAGGTTTATGTGGAATCCAAAACATTATTTTTTTGATTTTTGGAATTATTTTGGTAAGAATTTTTGTTTTCTATATATATATCAATTATTTTTTAATACAACAAAATAATAATAATAATAATAATAATAATAATAACAATAATAATAACAAAATTAGATCTAGGTTCATATTTATTTCCAATCATTACATCTTTGTATTGGGTGATAAATGATAGTGCACCTACTTGGATGATATCATTATCTAATTTATTATTGGATTTGAAATTCATGTTATTTTTAAGAGTTTTCAAATATTTTGGAAAATATTTTGCAATCATAATAGGTGTTGCAAAAAAAGTGTTTTCATTTCTAGTTATCTTATTTATAATAGTTTTTAGTTTTGCTCATGCATTGTTTATACAATTAAGACCAGAAGAGGACTATGATTTGGATACACCAATTTTAAATTTAGATAGCAATAACCCTTGGAATCTTGTATCAAGATATTATCAAATATTTTCAAATGGATCATTTGTTGACGATTCATTTATAATACAACAACCCGAAATAAACACTAACATGTTTGCTAAATTCTCTACATCAATGTTGGCTATGTACAAATTTCTCACAGGTAATTATATATATATATATATTTGTATTAATTAATAATTAACTAATAATTAATTTTTATTCTTTCCTTTAACTTTAAAGGTGATAATTCAGCTCTTTCATCAATATCATATGAAGATGATGCATATTTAACATTGTTAATGGTAACCTTTTCATTCTTAATTGTGGTCTATCTACTTAATCTATTCATTGGTTTGTTGAGTAATGCTATTGAGGAAAATAATACTAGAGAAGCATTCTTGGCTCAAAAAGCAAAGGTAATAATAATAATAACAACAATAATTCATTTTTCTTTTCCTCTCTATAAATTTATGTTAATTAAAAAAATTTTTTTAATGCATTAATTTAGATTATTTATGAGATAGAATTATTTTATTTGTTACCACATCAACGACGTTGGCGAACATGGTTTCCTGATTTGATGTAAGTTTTCATGCATGTATATATGTGTGTATATGTATAATTATAAATTTTTATTTAATAATATTATTATCGTCATCATCATTAGATATTATAATGTTCCAGTTGAAGAAATTCATCAAAAAATTCGATCTATAGATAAAAATAAAGACAAACGTGAATATCCTCCTATAATCTCAGATAAATTACGTGAATTAGTAGGCATTCCTGTGCAAAAATATAAAAAGGATTTGTCAAAACAATATGAAGAAATCAAGAATGAATTTAAAAATTTACAAGTAAATCATGCAGAATTAAGAAATCAATTTGATGAATTGAAAAAAGAGTTAATTAAACAATTTGATATTAATAGTAAATTCATGACTTATCAATTGAAAGAGGGTAATCAACATATCATTGAAAATATTTTAAGCCAGTTACCTCCCCAAAATAGAAAATAAATGTATATTTAGAGAATAGGAAAGGAGTTTATAAATAAATTAAACAAATTAATTTAACACACGATTTTTAATCCATCCATCTAATTTAGTTTTTTTCCTCTATCAATTTTTTATTTACAATTCTTACTTATCTTTATTTCCTGCTTCACATTTTTTTCATAAGTGATTACTTTATATGTTTTTTTTTTACCCAATAATGATTCATCAATCATACTCTTATACTATGTACTTTCTGGTATTGGAATCATGCAATTTTGTAATTTTTCATCTAAATAGTTTTTATAATAATAAGTTAATTTTAAATTATATGTTCATTTGATAAATTTCCCATCTTTTACCTGCTTTATTGTCTACTGACTGATTTTAGTTTTTTTGATTTCAGCCCAATACAATTGGATTATAATTGGCAATTCAACCATGATATGATTTCTTTTAGTAGTTGTTGATAAAAATCCGTATCATCAAAATATTTCTTCTCATGATTAGATAAGATGTTCTAGACATGATTGAAATTTTATTTGATTGACAAACGCGTACATATTAATAGTTTTTTTTTAGATGCACAGCATTTGGTATAATGGTTGATGAATCAACTGATATACCTACCAGTGACAAAACATTTGGATATTATGGCGAAATGAGAACAAGATTCTTACAATTATTAGAATTATGCACATACTATTTCATTAATAATTGATTTATTGAAAAAACTATTTTTAAAATTATTATATTGATTAAATGATTTTTGGATGTTTTAAGAAAATTGGTGGCTTTAAAGAGAAGGTGTTGTTGTAAAATTTGTCCTTATTTAATGATCAATCAATGTTGTGACTAATAGAGCATATACTACTAATAATAATGTTTTTATTTTTTATTATTCAATAATCATATCCTAACTAAATAAATATAATCACCTTCACTACATTAACTTGTTAAACAATTTTGGAGATAAAAAATATAACACAAATGCTTAAACTTCTGAAAATTGGCTTGATTATGGCTTGATTATAATAAAAAACATAGATGGGTTGTGTGACAAATAAAGTTGTGGTGAAATTAAAGGCAATTGTTGATAACTTTGTGAATTTGATAAATTGTTAATCTCTTTCTTTAGAAAAAAATACAACAACAATAATAAAGATATCATTAATTAATTAATTCTTACTTGCAAAATATTATAATTGATTTAATTTAACTGTAATATATTGTCAACATTATTCTATTATGCATAAATACCAACATTAATTTAACAAATTCTACTTATTGATATTTTAATGACTCTTTATCATCTTTACAATGAGAGAGAAGGTGGCAATATCAATGAAAGCAAACATGATAAAGAGGATGGTGTAAATTTAAATGAGATTACCATCAAATGATTCAATGAATTTGTAATAAGAAATGAAGGCAATGCCAGCAATAAGACTATGTGGTTGCAACCAACGTCAAAAGTTGCAGCCAGTATCTTTGACAAACTACCAAAAAATGGAAATAGAGACATTTAATAATTAATAAATATGATTTGTTTTCTTAATGGCAAAAGATTAACATATTCAAAAGTAAAAAAAAAAATTATTATTGTTTTTTTTATTAGCAATAATTAATGAAATGTTTTGATTTGATAACCATCCTAGATATTCATTCACACTTGAAATTTATATATATTTAAATTGATTAATTATCTAATTAAATTCTTAATTTTTCTTTGTTTTTGAAATACACATTGAAATTTCAAACACTCATCACCCAAAGTTGCTACAATTTCTCCTCCAGGGCTCAAAGCTGAGTGTAAAATACAATCCAAATGTACATCCTTAACATCAATAATTTTCTTTAGTGAAGGATATTTCCAGATTGTAAATTGGAAATTTGGATCTCCATGAGTTGATA